ATGCCAAGTACCAGTCTCGAAGAGAGACTCAAGGAGATTCATGCTTATGGCTTTAACCTTTCTATCGATATCGAGAATGCGAAAGAGCTTGAGGCCGAGGCTAAAGCGTTGCTCTCTTCTGATGATGACGATTCCGGGAGCGCGAGTGGATCCGAGAGTGGAGGGGATTCCGATGACGAAGTAGCAACTCCCGAAGAAAAATTAGGCACTTGGGATTTTTCTTTTTTGAATTTTTGTGTAGGATCTTGATCGGTCCTTGTAAATATTTTCATATATNTAATTTTGATACACTTTACGCCTTGTGAGAATTTTGACTCACTTCGTGCCTTGTGAAAATTTTGTTTGTCAATCCGAATTTTAGGCAACTTGATCATAATCAGACTAATATAGCCTCTATAGTCGAGTGAGTACTTGCTCGAACTCGAAGTAGAAAAAAAATATAATGGCCTTTAGGCTCTTGAATTGGGCTGATATGGCCTCAAAAGAGTGGCTTTTTTCCCTTTTCGACTTAAAAAGTTTAATCATATAAAAATTTGTCAAGCCTTAGCATGAAGCAAGTCTACACCTATTGGTTTTTTTTCAGGGGTTTAGTGTTATCGAAACCCTTTGCTTTTTTGTGCCTTAACACAATTTTGTTCGGTACTAAATTGTTCGAAAGTTCGAACAATTCAATACCCCTTAGAGTTTTTCAAGGGCTGACGTTGTCGAAACCCTTTGGTTGTTTCGCCGAGGGTAGCCTTTTTAATCGGTTTATAAAAATATTCGAAGGCCTATTTTCATTATGGAATTCAAACGTCTCCGAACCGTATTAGTTTGACTATAGCCTTCGAATTTGCCTCTTTTGCTTATTTTTCCAATTACACGTCAAACTTGTTCGAAGTGTCAGCCCCCGAGTAGGGCGACCTTGGCCTAATAAAAATCAAGGATTGCCTTTTTAAGGTCTTATGGTCTCGAAGTTTAATAATTCGAACATGTCGATTTTTGGACGACAATCCACGAGTACAGGGTTGAATGTTCGAGCTTTAGTTGCGATTGACACTTGAGCCAATTTTCACAATAGACCATAAGTATGAAATTGTAAAGTAAAAATTTCACTAAGGCATAGAACATTTGGTAAGGAAAAAAATACTTCTTTGAATAGATCATTCATGCATACATGTTTTGCCATTAGAGCTCGAGTAATCTACATGGATAAAGTTCATTTGAGCATTTAACCCTTTACAAAATTTACCTATCGAAACCTTGTTGACACGAAGTATTTTCCTTGAAAACACAACATCCGATGGTGATGACCCAAGTTAATTGTAAAGAAGCCTCGGATACTATTGAATTGTTCTAAGTTAGCACGAACAATGGTTGCCAAGTTAGTTTTTTTGGTTTACTAATAAGACTTTTTTCATACTCACTAACTCCAAATTTCTAATTAAAAGCAGAAGAATTTTATTCATCCCACGAACAATCCTCAATGGTGCCATTATATCTAAACTTTTAAGATTTTTCAACTATATTTAGACCTTAGGTGAATACATCTCAACCAACATAATAATAGGAGTATTATGGTTTAACTATTTACTTGTTTGTCAACCTACTAAATTCCTCCTCTCCAGAGCTATGAACAAGTCATACAAAACATAAAGTACAAAATTAAGCTTCAGAATTTGAGGAAATAATATATTTTCGAGAAGTTTTATTGTGTCTCACACAACTTACATTAGTTGTTTGAGGCTCCTTTTTGTCTAACAAATTTGTGAACCCAAACTGATACTTCTGGGTCCATAAAAATTTGGATCCACAAAATTATGAGACAAAAAAAATTAAATACTTTAAAGATCTTTTTTCGCAACTAAATCAACAACTGCTGCTTTAAAGAATTTAAATACTTGCAGCGATCCCTTTGAAGCATCTAGTGTTCATCTGCTTTACTAAAACAAAAAATTTGCTCAGAATTTGCAATTAACTAATCACGGACAATTATCATAAGTCCAGACATAATTTTGAGCAAGTTCATCACTGCAATCATGAAACCAAAAAAATTCAACAAACACCATATTCAGCATATAAAAAACACAAACAACAGAAATTTCAACCAAAACTGAAATCAAAAACACAGATTAGATTTATTTGTATAAAAACATTAGCTATAGCTTTCAGAGAAATTCCATGAAAGGAAGTAGTGCAGACATTCAACACAGCATCAGGTTCTGACCGCCCGTCTGCTTGTTCCTCATCAATAAGCTAAGTAACAAAATAGATTTATTTAATAAATAATATTACTAGTAAATATTTTCAAATCTAAATAGTAATTAGGAGGCATCAGAAAATTAATTGAGAGTTATTTGTCTTCATTCATTTTCAGTGTGTAGTATAAGTTTTTTGTTTATCATCATTTGCCTCCTTTACTGCAATTATAAGCAAACTTATCAAGCATAAAATAAAACTAAATAGAGAAAAATTAAAAAAAAATTACATTTCAGATATGGCATCAGATAATAAGCGGAGTAAATAATCAACAGAATTATTCAGTATTTACTGTGTTATATCATCATATGCCATAGAAAAATCATTAAAAAAAATTAGAAGAAAAACTTCGAAATTTTTTTATATCGGAAAAGGCAGCGATTTCAGGTTAAGCATCAGCTATATCTCCTTGTTCACGTCTTTAAGTACAAGAAGAGGGTAAATCCGATGCTATTTAAAAAAACAAAAATAAATAAACAGATTATACATATATATAACTATTTTTTGTAAACTCAATTGACAGAGAGAAGCTAATGTTCTAAGAAATAATGGAGAAAATCTTGCTTAAATAGAGTTTGGACTGTGCTTAGGGTTTTGGAGTTGCGGCGTTTAGCCAGAAAACTAGCGAATATCCTTCTTTGCCCCTGTGGTTTTTCCAAATTACATTGTGACTCCTATGTAATTTTAGTTACTAAAACACCCTTATTACACAAATAGCCGGCCAGATTTAATGTTTACTTTTGTTAGCCCGTGTCCATAGATTATACATTTATTACACAGTATACATATATTATATATGAATTATACATTCGCGAGTTATTTTTAATTTAATAAAGTAGGTGAGTGGCTATTTTGATTAATTCTTTTACATTTTTTTTATTATACATCTACGTGTGACTACGAAAAATAAAATCAACGTAAATAAACGGAATATGATGGGGTGGATGTGGTTCTTTATCCTTAATCAAATGCATTGGGTTAAAGCTATGATATAGAGCACATTTGTCTTAAATAGATTTTGCGTGACATGAATTTGAAAGTTAAGGAATTACGAATACCAAATAATAGAACCAAAAATATCGAAGCTAGGGCTCCTTCATTAAAGCAAACTTTGTGCTACTTAACTTAATCAACTATGCTATATATCCGTCTCAATTGATACAATGTTAAAAAAAAAAATTATTTATAAGATTATTTTTACTATGAAAATTTTGTGGTTATTTCCATATATACTTATCTAAGCGGAACATTTAAAATGAACAAAATATAAAATTGGTCGATTCGCTGAATTTATTGCATACGCTAATCAAAAAGTGTATCTTCCATCACTTATCCTGGTTAATAATTATCAACGTTATTATTCTTATTTTGTTTATAGTTGGGTGTTAGTTCCATGTAACTTCATGTTCATCAATGTGTCAAAACTTCATGACTACTTTGTCATTTAATTCTCAATAAATTATAAATTAAAGTAATCAAATAGCAAATTTACTTTTGAAGTTATTGTTATATTTTTCTATCTATAAATTTTTGTTGACCTCTTTATATCAAAATTGTCTTTTCTAGGATTTCACTACTTTTGGAATAGGGAGAGAATGTATCTTCCTATTTGGGGGAGAAACTATGACATGTATAGACTTAAATTTTATATATAAAATTATATATTATCACGTTCTTAATAAGCTAACTACTATTCGTAGCCTACTCTTAGAAAGAAGATTATTTTTCTTTAGTTAGGTAGTTCACCTGACTGTCTTTATGAGTAAGGTTAATCGAAGGTTTGGAAAAATTTATTGGAAAGAGGGAATCATTTTCCAACCAGCCCTAGTTATTTATGTATTCGAAAAGAGGTTAGAACCGAAAAAGATCAGGTTTCACACATATGAGACAGGTAAGTATGTATCGAGTAGTTTATTGAAGAGCGAAATTAATTTTGTAGTCGTCTTCTTTGTTCGAAAAATATACTTAAAGATAATTTGATTTACCGGAAAAAAAACAAGACACTATCAGGTAAATGAATTAAATATATTATTTAATACATCAATCTTGATCAAATTACATTAAGCCTTATATTTGTACTGTTATTACAACAATCTTGATTAGATTACATTGAATCTTAATGTAATCTATATCATGTCTACATTAAAAAGTCTATCACCATTGTTCTATGGCCCTATAAAATGTGAAGTCTCTCCTTCTTTTGTATAGCATCACAAACAACTTAAACATGGAGAAAAACATAACCCTTTTTCTTCTTGGCTTTCTATTTCTTTCTCATTATGTGGTCATAATCCAATCCAAAATCCCTTACCCTCCTTGTGATCCATGCACTTGCACTGGTAATCAGTGCAGAAAATTTTTTGGAAGTTCGTATAAATATGAATGGCCAGAGTTGAAAGGAGTTGAGATCATGAAAGCTAAAGCCATCGTAGAACGCACAAATCCTTATGTTACTGGCGTCGTGCTAAAAGATATTTATTGTATTGTTACAATGGACATTTGTTGCAATCGTGCGTGGCTTTGCCCTGATGAGCATGGTCGTGTTAAAAATGTACCAAGGGTTGGATGGTAAATATTTTATCGATAGAGGAACTAGATCGGATTATGGATCCGAATTATCATTCTCAACTTTGAAATATATTATGAAAAAATCTTTTTCTTTTCAAATAATATTATGTGGATGTACTACTTCGTTCTCTTTTACATTTTGATCTAAGCTTCAAAATATTATTCCCGCCAAAATCATTCCCACAAGTGAGGTCTGGGTCAAATAGTAATAGTAGTATTTCAAAAATATGGCTTTAAATTCTTTCACAAGATGAAAAAAGAAAAATAATCAAAAAAGAAAGTAACATTCTATCTATATTTACAAGAATATTTTCACATTAGCCAGTAGCCACTAACGCTTGCATTAGAGTAGGCTGTCTACGTCACACCCATTGGGGTGAGATCCTTCCCGGATTCTGCGTGAACGTGGGATGCTTTGTGCATCGGGCTGTCTTTTTTAAGATACAGCTCGGTTGTCGGCTAAAGCGATCCTAGAATCACATTCTTCATTTTCCTTATTAACATCAGCAGGAGGCAAAAACCAATCCATAGACAAACCACTTATATTAAAATCAATCTCTTCAATCTTCCATGTTTCCTCAACTTTTGCTCTATAGTCTATGTTCTTTCCATATCTATAAATTGTTGCTGTAGTTTTCCCACTGTGTGCTATGTTTACACCTTCAATATACCGATAATCTTTCAACATAGATTCCATACTTGTTTCCCAAAAAACGCTATCATCTTCTTTAGCTGATTTCAATCTTACTAGTTTTGTGTCCTCAAATTGGATAAGAAGTCCAGATCGTTGGCTGAAATAACCCCATATAGTGTGATGAACAACTTCTGTATTAGCTGTACTCTGTGCTTTTAGCATGTCTTTGCTTGTCTCAAGCTTTAGTATAAAGCATTCTTCATCCTTAATTTTCTTTTCACCAATACAAACAGCATTCAAGAATAAATTGGCTGTTGATCTGGGGTCTAATCCCTGTTGATCAAGAAGAATTTCATGAACAAGAGCAGTATTTATACAAGTAACCATTTAGACTCCACTTGAGTAGAACTAGTTGTTGGATGATTGCATAAAGAACAAAAGGGTAAGAGTGTGACTTGCAAATCAAAGACAAGAAGTATGTTACATTAAGCCATCGAAAGATGATAAAGAATGTGTTAAAGAAAATTTGATACCACAAAAATTCGAGTTTAAGTTCTATGCACTGACAGTGTACAACAACAACAACAAGCCCAAAGAATTCCCACGAGTATGGTCTTGGGGAGGGTAAGATGTATGCAGCCTTACCCCTATCGTGGAAGAGCAGAAAGGTTGTTTCCGATAGATCATCGGCTAAAGAAAGAATGAAAAGAAGTAACGGCAACAAGTAGTAACAACAACGAGATTAAACAAGAAGACCGAAGCCAAGAAAGCAAGTAAACACTAGGTAGTAATAACAATCAAAGAATAAAGAGATATCATACTAACATTAATGCAATCGAACTGAGAAGACGTAGGGAGAACGCTCGACTACCTACTAGCCTAATCCTCGACCGCCACAGCCCTCTATCAAGGGTCATGTCCTCAGTAAGCTCTAGTTGCTTCATGTCACGCCTAATCACTTCTCCCCAAAACTTCTTTGATCTACCTCTATCCCTCCTCATACCCACCAAGGCTAACCTCTCACACCTTCTAACAGGGGCTTCTGTGCTTCTCCTTATGCATTGACAGTCTAAAAAGTATTTATACAATCAACTCACTTACACGATAATTAACGATCTTTGTTGCTCGGATCCTCCAAATATGCTTTTGGCGGATCAGAAACAGATGTGGAAGCATTTCTAAAAGATCCCGAGCAACATAGATTATAGGTAATTATCCATGGTATACATTAACTGATAACAAGTAAAACTACTAAAATGGGAATGAACCTGTTATCACAGGTAAAACTACGCGTCAATATATATAACTTAAATCCTATAGTTTATGTCACTTGGGGGTACCTGAAAGAACCTCCGGGGTGGTCTTGGAGGACCTTTTGAAGCATTAGAATTGTTGGAAGAGTGACTCCAAGCTACTATTCCATTACTACCTGCACTGACTTTGCAATCAGAAACAACCAATTCTAGAAACCATAAATCAGGGTTCTTTTGCCAAAGAACAAATCCTCCATCCTCACAAGTCCTTTTGGAATTCATATGGTTACCACTTTGATGAATATCTGATGTTGCCATTTGCAATTGTCCCACTGCATACATGCTATTTATTGAATTTAATGCAGCTTGCCCTCCACTAGCTGCTAGATATTGTTGTACTATGTATTTTGCAGTAGAAGCCTTCTGTTGATCACAATCAAAAGGATTTTAGCTTGATTTTTCTTTCAGAAATTTAAGCAACATCTATTAGTAAAAGCCTTCTGTTGAACACAATATTAGAAGGCATATAATTGAAAAGCATAAAATTCCGTGGATTTGAAGGGGAACCTTGGCGTAACTGGTAAAGTTGTTGCCATAAGACCGACCAGGATGTCATGGGTTCGACCTGTAGAAACAGCCTCTTGCAGAAATGCAGAGTAAGGTAGCATACAGTAGACCTTTGTGGTCTGGCCCTTCCCCGAACCCCGCGCATAGCTAGAACTTAAGTGCACCAGGCTGCTTTTTTTTTTTTTTTTTGCAAGATAGTTAATGCAACCTGAAGAAATTTTCGAATCACCTTTGCTACTACATTAGAATCTTCCCCAAAGTCATCAAGATTTCAGCAAATTATATAGTATTTATTACCAAGAAAATTGTTTTAACCCTATTTTTACAATATAATTTTTCAGCAAAAGAGATTCAATTGAACCCCTAGCCTCCACATGGGTCCGTCCCTTGTCCGCCAAAGTAGGTGCTACATTGTGAAATCATGCTGAATTCCTATATAAGATGCTTAGATTTAACCTTTATTATTTGACGAATTGAGGAATAGTTGATTGATTTTTATCGATAGATTGAAAATTTTACCAATTAAACATTAGCATGAATATAGAGCACTCACAATGGAAGCATCCATAACAGGCAAGCTAATGGCATGATCCAATTGAACTTGAAAAGGAATAAGAGCAGAGCCAACAATTTTCAACAAGAATATAAATTGATCATTGTTACTTGAAACAGCCTTTGATTGAGCACATAATTTATCAGCTTTCATAAGATTACGCATATTTTTCCATCTTATGGCTGCATTACTACCCATTTTGCTAAACATTTCCTCTGGAATTGGCACCTCTAAAACTGTCTCTAAACCATCGTTTTTCTCCAAATTAGGACACAATTTCTTCATTGTGTAAAATGTGACACTATTCTTTAATTATCCTTCAAATTTTACGAGAAAATTGAAAAAAATTATACAAGAGGAAGATTGTAGGAACATTTCATTCTTGCAATAATTGAGAAAATGGGGTTTCAATTTTTTTTTTCCTCCTTTGGAAATGTTTGAATGGAGAATGTGATTTTGAGAGAAATTTAGGGAAGTGGAAAAGGGAAAATGTATATTTCTTGTATATTTCTCCGCATCCTTTCTCCAATAGGTTGTTTTTTTGGTAGTTGCTATCGTGTGGGCATGATTTTGGCGGGAATAATATTTTTATAATATGGATAGGGTATCAAATGGGCGTGTAGGATAAATATGGACGAATTAAAACATGCTAAACTAATAAGAGTAATTTACATAAATCACTATAGTTTAGACTTTAGAGCCTAATTATCATACGTAATTATAGTTGCCTAATTACCATTCATTGCGAGTCGAACTCAAGACCTCCGCTTACTATTTAGCGGGTACTCTAACTAAATGAGCTATGAAAGCTTGTTGCTCCCTTATTTTCGTTTAAAACAATTGATCTCTTATTTCAGTACTACAAGTGAATTTTCTATAAAATTCAAATATAGCTTCGAATGGTAATTTCTGAAAGTATAGTTGTGAACGCTAAATAGAGTAATATATGTTTACTAGGTCGCATAAGATTTTCAATCAATAAACAGGCAGTTAGTAACCTGGCCAAAGGTTTCTTGGGCTTCTATGATTAAATTAAGATGTACTAAACAATAGATCATATACCGACTTGGGACTTTAATTAGTTTTAATTATTCTTAATCTCTTATCGTCAAAGACGGATCGAAGATTTAAACTTGATCAAATCATCCTTTAAAGTTCTACGTACTGAACTTATTACACTTCAAAAATTATGAGTTCAGAATATAGTATTTGATAATATTACAGTATTTTTCACTTATATATATTCACATTCGGTGTCGAAAATACTGGATTTTAATTGAAACTATAGCTAATAAGCATGTCCACCATAAAACACTTCATGCAATATGTTGTGATATGCCCAGACTAAGTAAACCTTGTTTTTACATGCAGTTTAGGACTTTTATTTCTCAGCTTTTCTACTGTTTATTTGTTGGACAAAAAGCAAATAATGTTAATTAGAGAAAAATGCCGAACAAATAGTGACACAGGAATAAGGATGGAATAAAGAAGACAATATGACCAAATCAAAACAACCTTAAATCTTTTTTTCTTTTTCTTTTTTGCTAATAACCTTAAGTCAATATCGACTTTTTGCAACTTTTATCATTGTCATTTCTTTTTTATATTCGGGGAAAAAAGAAAAAAATTTACTCTCATTGATAGGACTATCTTTATGGTATTTGGATGTTGGATTATGGGTCATGGGTCGCTCCATGTGGGCTGACCCGACCGGTTAGGAGAGATAAGGGAGAGAGGTTAAGGGAAGTTACCACTAGACCACAACCTCTCCACTAAACTGAACGTGGGTGAGTGGTGGGTTTCTTCCTCAACCGCTATTTTCTCTGCCTATTTATATGAAGGAGATAACATAGAACAAGTATGCGTAAGTTTTTTCTCTAACGTAAGAATTTGAATCTCTTCTTCTCCCAACGAAAAGCACAAACAAGCAAGGGCATCTAATTGGTGGAAGATTAACTTTGTTTCCTAGTGATTCAAAGTTCGATTTGGGACAATTGTTTCGGTGGTGAGTTCAATAATTCTTCCGCTGCATTGACAGGTACGCTAATGTTGTTCTCGCCCCGCGATTATTAATCTTACATTGGTATCAGAGCAGTGGTTGTATCCGTACTCTTCTTTCTCCGCTACAAAATTTTATTCTTATTGGGAGATGACTCTGGTTGGTGCCATAAAAAGGAACAATCTGTATGTTTGTTTGTTTTTATTAAGGATCTTGTGTGTAGAATTTTGCCGCTATTGACAGAGTTTGGGATTAAAAATTGTTCTTTTACCGTATTGCTATTTGCAACAGAACTTAAACAAGGGTTTCGAAAGTTGAATTCAAATTATGAGAGATCACCATGGCTTGACAGCTTTATCTGCAGTCTTTGAAGTTTATTACATATAATATAACGTAAAGCCTCATCATGTGAAAGAAGTCATGTTATCTTTGGCATGTGATTTTTTTTCCTTTGCCACTTGGATAGCATTACGTATTTGCATATTTACTTAAATGTGTTGGAAGTGATTTCCATATCCTCCCCACTTTGCTTTGAAAAGTTGAAATATGGACACATATTCTGTTGTTAGCGGAACAAAACTTGACACGTATGGAGCAAAATGCTTCTCAAATATGGAGGCCAGTGGTCAATGTAGCTTTATTTATATTCTGTGAACAACATACATAAATCGGTGGTACTAAGAAAGATTGAATCATTGCACAAGAACTATCAATCTATTCCAAAAATAATTACGGTCACAAAATAAATGACATATTTTTTAAAGTCTTTCTGATTAATTGCAGCAAATTCTTTCTCTATCTTTTGTCTTGACAAGTTATTTTAGAATATAGTTCTATATTTTTTTTTTGGTCCTAGTCCCTTAAATTGATATACTTCTACGAGTTATTGTGACATATGTTGTTACAATGAATAGTTGTAGCCATTCTAAGTGTTTCCTTAGTCCTATTTCAGATATGGTTGAAGAAGGACAAGTTCGAATTACTCCAAGTGGGAGTTCTCGAAGTCAAGGAAGAGGACAACGTAGAGGGGTACGTCGTCGCAGGACTTATTTCTATAATGATTCAGACTCGGAGCCTGAAGTCATCAGGAATGTCCCAAGGGCGAGACAAAATCAGTAAGGGATCGAAGGGCTGAACGAAGGGAAAGAGAAAAGAAATATAGAGAGCTTAGGGCTTCACTAGCTGAACATATTGGAAATTATCAGTTTACCCGAGATGTACTAATTGATGCTATTGACGAAATTGAACTATCTGATTGGGAAGCCTTAGCAATTTTAGTAGATTCACTTGGAGAACCTTTAGGTAGTATTTTAACTGAAGTTTATCACGAGGTTTGGCCAAGTGAACCTTTTTGGGTTTATGTTCTTAAATTTGAAGCTGAGTGGGAGAACCGTCTCTACAACTACTTGTAATTTGTTTAATTAATGAAACTTTGTTATTTGTTTGCAAGATTACATGTCATTTTATTTGTTTGTTTTTTAATGTATGGCAATTAAAACAAGTATGACATGATATTGAAAATCTTGACAAGATACACACTATGAGAAATGATTTTATAAAATATTAGTTGAACATTTAGTTGTAGATGATGAATGGAAACGTAGTAACCTTTCGATTCTATACTAAGTGTAAAATTAATATTTTATTTAATTGATTTGCCTAAGTGTGTATATCACATGCGAGAATGATGAGTAATAAATACACTTGCATTATTGTTTCATTTAACAGACTATGGCATCAAAAACTATCATTGCTGACTTAAACAAGGGTGACAAACTGAACGGTGAAAATTATGATATTTGGAACCGTAAGATGTGGCATGTGCTGGAAGAGCAAGATGCTCTTGAAGCCATTAACCATGTCATGGTTTGCCCAGAGGAGGGTAACACTACCCAACATAGGAGAGATCTTGAGGCTTACAATTCTTGAAAAAAGAAAGATGCCACTGCTCGTGGAATCATTGTAAGCTCAGTTGTGGATGATTTCATTCATGAATGTGAACAATTCCGTACTGCTAATGCCATGTGGGCGCATTTAAGGGAGGCATATGGGGGTACGACTGTGACTCGCCTTCGTCAGCTGACAATCAAGTTTGACACGTACAAAAAGCGTCATGATCACGGTGTCAAGCAACATCTAAGGGTGATGTCAAATATGATTGCTCAACTCAAAAGTATTGGCCATGTTCTCTCTGACGAGCAGCAGGTTCAGGCAGTGATTCAGTCTCTTCCCAATAATTGGGAGCATCTGAAGGTTAACTTGACCCACAATGATAGCATCAAAACTTTTGATGATGTTGCCCGTCATGTGGAGCTTGAAGACGAGCGGCTTGGTGCTGCTAAAGCTGTACCTAATGCCTTTGTGGCAGAATCAAGTGGTACAAAGAGATCAAGCTTCAAGCGCAAGAGAAACTGAAAAAATGACGGAAAGGGTAAGGAGACCGGAGAAGGATCCTCCAAGAAAAGAAACAAGCCAAATTCCAAGAAAGGAAAACGGTTCTTCAAGAAGAAAGACAAGAGCAAGATGAAGTGTTACAATTGCCAAGTTCCAGGGCATTTTGCTGGTGAGTGCACTGAGCCGAAAAAGGTAGCATTTCAAAATGCATCTCTTAGTGCTATATATGTTTCTAGCACTGTTTTGCTAACTGAATCTTATCCTGTGTGGATTGTAGACTCAGGGGCCATCGACCATGTGATCCGCGATAGAGAAGCGTTTATAGAGTTCCGTCGAGTTTCGCCTGGATCAAAGCATGTATATGTGGGAAATAATGCAAAGCTTGAAGTCAAAGGGATAGGCACTTGCAGAATGGACATGCGTGGTGGCCGATCTTTGATGTTGCATGATGTCCTTTATGTTCCAGAGATTCGAAGAAACTTAGTCTCTATGTCTGTTCTTCTAGATTTAGATTTCTATTTGAACTTTAGAAGCAGTGGTCTTAGAATTACTCAAGACAATGTTTTTTATGGTTTTGGACATCGTTATGATGGTTTTATTGTGTTACATTGTAATCCTTCTACGTATAACTATTATGTTGACCGTGGTGTTATGGCATGTTATTTTAGTAACAATGATGTTGATATTATTACATGGCATGCAAGATTAGGTCATATAGGGCAGGATCGAATGAATAGATTGGCTAAGGAAGGACATTTGGGTTCTTTCTCTAAAATTGAAATGCCAACTTGTGAAAATTGTCTTGCCGGAAAGATTACACGTAAACCATTTGGAAAGGCTAAGAGAGCCGATTTTCCATTGCAATTAATTCATTCTGACATCTGTGGTCCAATGAATGTGAGGGCTAGGTCTGGTGCTTTATATTTCATTACGTTTATTGATGATTTCACGCGCTTTGGTTATGTCTATTTGATTTCTCATAAATCTGAAGCACTTGAATGCTTTAAGAAATATATGAATAAAGTTGAGAATCAATTAGACAAAAGGATAAAGACCTTAAGAACCGATAGAGGGCGT